TTTACTATTCGGATTTCTATCTTGAGCAGCAAGTAAAGAAAATAAATTTCTATTTATCTTTAAGGTAAATTCTTTGGATTTTACTACCAATAGTTGTTTTGACACATACTGTACCTTTACCAAGAGCAACTAAAGTTTCTTTTCCAGCAGCCTTGATGCTACAGGGACTATCAAACTTCATAAAGTCAATAAAGTATGTGAAACAATTCATGATATGTCTTGTAGCTCCACTATCAATCCAAAAAGATGTTTGATCAGTCTTAGCCTCTTCGTCAATGGACATCAGTATTACACTGCCTGTATTTCCTTCATTGGTTTTCGTTCAACCTATTCTTGGGTGGTCTTCCATCAGCAATCCACTGTTTACAATCTTTTACCCAGTGTCCTTTCTTTTTGCAATAATTGCAAATATCTTCTTTTCTTGGTTTTCTTCTGAATTTGTCTTTTTTATATTGCTTTTGTTTTTCAGATTTTGACATTACTAATGCCACTTGTTCATTTGTATTGCCTTTCTCATGACTTTTAAATTCTCTTTCATGAGAGCAAAGCTGTGCTGTTAACTCATCAACTGTTCTTTTGTCTTCACCCAAGAGTAACCAACTTGACTTAAACAAATGGTATTGTCCTGGTAAGACATCTAAAATCTTGCAATTGAGTAGCATGTCAGGTAACTTATTTTCATTTTTCTTTTCAAGTCCTGAATTCAACTCATTCCATAAGTTTTTTAATTTAGAAAGATGAGCCGCCATATTATGATTTTCATTCCACTTGAATTGAAAAAAATTGCATGCATATATTATACAATTGATTTTCTTATGATGCTTCAAATAACTTATGTAATTCCAACCACACTTCTCTAGCAGTTTGAAATCTCATAACTTTTTGCAGAGTTTCTTCCGTCATGGAATTCGTTAATACCATCATAGCACTAGTGTTTGCATTTTGAAACTTCTTAACAACTTCATTATATCTCTCTTGTTGAGCAATCGGAGCATCTACAGGAAGAATTTCTGGTTTCACTATAGTTCCTTCTACAATTTCTAAAGCACCAGGATGATAATTTAAAAAACAAATTTTATCCTGTATTTCCATATAAGCCAATCGCTTTCACCTGATAAAGGCTTTACTTGGACCTTAGATAATTCCATACTTTGATTTCTAAACAACTTTCGATTGCTATAACGAAAACAAAACACTTACTTGATTAGGCTTAACGAGTTCCGTTTCTTCGAGAAAAAACATCAATTCAAAACATTTGACGCAATATGGGAGTTTGCTTGACCCATAACCTAAAAAAGTTATTTCTTAAAAATACATAACCTAAAAAGGTATTTCTAAAAATAAAGAGAAAAACGAATAGCAGAGCAAAAAATACGATGCTTTTATTGGAATTACAAAACTATAGCTTTTTTTGAACGACAGTATCGCGAAGCACGATCTCCTGATGACGACAACACTCACTGTTGCCAAAACTTATCTAAACTATATATTATATTATTATTATTTTTATTAACATACTTTAATACAAGCAGGTAGGAGGAGACAGTAATTTCATTACAAAACAGTATTTCCTAGAAGCCACTGTGATGAAAACCTGTTTGGACTGCCTTCATTTATTATCACGTCTGCCGAGTGGATTGCTGGCGCTGATGTTATGACTGAATAACAGATGCACCAGAATGCAAGGAAAGTCTCTGCTTTCCATCCTGTCGCCAACCAAAGACAAAACAAATGCATATTCTTCCTTTAAAGATGTTTATTGACTAAGAGAATAAGGCGATGTTAAAAAATATATATTTTAAAGTAAGAAATTCTTTAATTTTTGGGGTGCGGACATTTGTGCGGGTCACTTTTTTTTTACATAAATTTTATCTGTAAAGTTGGGGCGCGGACATTACATGACCGTATACGGTATGTACCAATCTTAAAATAAGGTATGATTTTTAAACAGCAGCTGAAGAATTTTTATTCAGTTACTAATTTTTCCTAATTGCTCCATCAATCTGTCAAAATGGTAATGTACTGATATGTTTACCTCACTTCTGCTTCTAAGTGACGTGATGAGCATTTTTTGGGGGGTATATGTTATGATACATTTTTTATGCTTTTCTTTTGTATGCATTTAATAATTTTTCATAATAAAACATCTGGAGTGTCTGGATTCTTAATTTCACTTCAGTACTAGCAAAATACCTCCATACTGTAGAAACAATTATTGTTTATTAGCATAAATCTGTACTTGCTGTTTTGCTTGGCGTACATCTCAAACCAAATCTTTCTAAACTGAAATATCATTTATTTTACATTCACTGAATAACTTACATCCCTGACACCAATCTAGAAAGTCATTACTTATTTATTATATTTTGCTTTCATTGATGCATGACTATCATCACATGGCAGCTTGATAAATGACTTAACCAGAGATATCTAAACAGTTATTATTATTTAAAATTAGTAATTCAGTACCAAAGAACATAGTGATATGTTGACATTATGCTTGGCCATGACAACAGACTTCAGCTAACTAAGCATTAAGCGTGTTGAGGAGAAATTTAACAGAAATTTCTTTTCTATATGGGAAAAAAAAAAAAAAAAAAAAAAGATTTTGTAAATGATAGTCATTGGCCAAATGATTACATTTTCTGCTGTTTGTATTAATGATAATTGATTTGTTGTGCAGATAAGCCAAGTATACGCAAGAATTTATTTATTCAAGACTCTGATAAGTTTTAAGCATATATGGGAAACAAATGTAAGTATAATAATAAAAAAAAACTACTGTAATCTATTGTAATTCTGGCCTAATTTCCTCAGTGTGCAATAGAACATTTAGCAAACAACACCTCTCTTGCTTGGTAATTTCATGACACATCGCCAGTGACCCTGGATTAGCTTTTATGATGATAGCCGTGAACTGGAAGGTTTTCAGATATCATAAACAAAAGGCAAGATTTTAATTTAATGGAATTTAATTACAAATGGCAATAAGATGGTAAGATGATATAAGAGAAGTTTTTTATTCTGATGACAATGCCCAATTAACTAACAGATGGCGAAATCTTTATGGTTCTAAATCCAGAAAATATCACTATTGATAGTGAAGAAAGTGACAGAGTTGAGAGAGAATGAAAAGATTTCGACTAATAATTAAGTGGGAATTCTCGAAATGGCAATTATTAGCACACACACACATAAAAAAAAGGAATCAATTTAAACAGCTTATATTCAAAGAGATATTTAACAAAACAAATAAATAAATATTAAGCTTTTGTTTATAAATTTTCATTCGATTAAGGTCATATATACTTAATTTTATTTCATAAACGACTGTTTCATATTTCTTATTTTATAATCCCTACATGTTATCTTTCTGAATTTAAATTCTTGATCTAATATCCGGAAAATCCCGAATTCGGAATCTTCGAAGTCCTAACAAGTCCGGATCTCGTCCTTTAAAACAATTATGAGTTAGAGTAGATTGAAGGATGCCCCTTGTGTTATCGCAAAGTTGTTTCATTTATGGTAACCTGAGTATTTGAATTTTATGGAAACCCTATTATGATGTAATCGATTGTATGTTGCCGTAAATTTTGAATGATGGGAAAAAGATTTGTAAGGGGCTTGTGGTGTGTGTCGGTTAGGAAGTACATTGCTTGTTTTGTGATTTAGATGGTAGAATGGCTGAATGTTGTAAGATTAATTTGAATTTCTGTATGATTTGGAATGCAAGGGGAAAACTTTATTAATTGACTGGTGTGTAAATGAAGATTTACTTAATAGCCATTATAAGTGTCCTGTTTGTAGGAAGAAAAGCGTATAGTTGAACGTCGGAGGATATCGACCCTACGTAGGATATTTATTTTTTACTCTTATTTTTTTGAATTTATGCGGCAAAGCCGATATACGGATTCTAGTTCAGATAATTTTTAGGAAGTTTTTGGATGCTGTTAAGGAATTTAGTGTGCCACAGTTTGAAGGGCTCAGACAGTTCTAAATAAGGTAAGTGGACATTTGCTTTGTGTACTGCTTAGATGTATAACATGAATTTCCTTTTTTATGTTATTTTATTGTTTGATTTAAAATGCAGTCTATTGAGATTATGTATTTTTTGTTTGGCTCTATTGTAGAATTGTGTGCTCTTTAGTGAAAACAGGTCGGTGTGTATACATGGATAAAGTCAAGGGTGTGCAATTCTCTGATTTTTTTAAGTGAAAATAGGTCAATGGATACTGAGTTTGTGAAATTCTTTGACTTGTTATTTTGTCTTCTTCACTACATAAAGCCAAAATAACAAGTCAATGAACTGCAAAAACTCGGTATCCAAGTACCGCCAAAAATCTTTAATTTTTCGCCAGAAGGCACCCATAAATATATTTTTACTATCACAGGTATTACCAGATAATTAAAAATTTAAACATACTTATAAGCTATGAATATTGTATGTGCAATAATTATAGTGTTCCAAAAAATTATATAAAGTAGGCAAGTTAATAATTTGCTATTTTCCATTGTTACAAGTTTAATAATAAGGCTGGAGTTAAACTAAGTTTTGGATAAAATAATCTATCCTGAAATGAAACTGCAATTTTGAAAATGGAGTTAAAATGTAAAGATAGTTTAAGAAGAAATTTCAAACAGTCCAGTTACATGACTTAACATTATTCATAGTAGAGGTAACATTGAAGTAGATGGTACTCAATGTCTATAGAAAGTCTATTGATAAAAATCTATAAGGTAAGCAATTTGTAAGATAAGAATTGCAAAATCACATATTGCATCTTGAAGCACTGCCATTGGAAAAGGTACATTATACGAATATTGCATGCATTTTTATAAAAGAATATCTGTATATTAAATGACTTCATTTAAAAAAAAGCACTGATCCCCCCCAAAAAAAAATGTGATTCAATTCTTGTTATTTTATATTATAAAAATAAACCAATATACACTGATTTATGAGCAGTCAAAGTGAGTGCAAATTTTTGAGAGAACCTGTATGTATTTAAAGCATTTATTTCAGAAATATAATGAAGTCCTTATTAATCAGGTAGGACTTTATATACGTAAATATGCCCTTATAATCAGGTACAGAGGTACTTAATATACATTTATAATTTGACTGACTGAATGTCCAGATAAGTTTGTTTTTACATGTCTCCTCAAGAATGTTTATTATTAGCTCAAAGCATATTTACATATATTAAAAGTATAAACATATGAACAATAATTAGAAACGACATTTTCAGTTTCAAAAAAAAAAAAAAGAATTTATAAAACTTCTGTACAATTACTTACAAAAATAAATTACATTTTATATACATAATTCTTACATTTACATGACTCAAAATATGGCATGATTTTATGCAGCAGCAGCAAGCTTGGTTGGCACCCATTTAGTTTAGCCACAAGCATCAGAAACAGAAACCCACAGCATTGAGTGAAATATTAAACAATTTGATTAAGAATAGTTCAAATATTCATCACCTGATTAAAGAATTTAAACATTCTTAGAATTCATAAAATGCAATAAAAATTATAATCAAATTATGTTTGCATTAAAAATGTTACAATAAGATCTAATCACAGCTATCACATAAAACATCAGATGATGAAAACATCATTCTTCATACATAAAAAAGGTCTAATATTCTTCAAGTACTATGCTGGCTATTTCTAATTTATATTGCCAAGTTAATATTACAATGTTAATACAAATGTAATAATTAATCACATTGAAAATTTTTTCTAAGTATTCCTTTATAATTATCACTGAACTTGGAGAGTAAAAATACTGCAGGTTAGAAGACAGTAATTATCAAATGTCCATAATTTTTTCACACAGTTTCACAGAAAAGACTAAATGGGGCTGCTCCAGCCAATATCATTTCCAACTAGACAATCAACAGTTATGTACAGGACTTAGAAGAGATGATGTATGTGCCATTTCTGAAAGCAAAGTAAAATGAAATATTTTAATAGTGAGCATTAAATTCTGTCAAAACTAAAATATTAGCTTATTTATTAAAATATCTGTCATAAAAGTCTATCAGAATTTAGCCGAATTCTTATACTGATTTACAAGTTTTGTTATTCCGGAAAAAAAAAAAAAAGAGGACAAATCAGGAATTAATGGAATTAAGTTCACTCCTAAAAATATAATTTAACATTATTTTAATTTCTTTTGCATATTTATTTCTGTATTGACACATAATATGTCAATACAGAAATAAACATCCTTTTTAAAATATACACATTACAATTTTACTCACTTTTTGGAAGACAGCAAACTTGCATCAAGTTATCAGAACCACTGAAACTGCTTTTGGTAACTATTTGCGAAACACGCTAATGTAGTTCAATATTATTCAGTATAGGTATCTCCTTGTCAAATATTTATTGCACAATTTCTTGCAGTGAATTCTTTGGCAGTAAAACAGAAGTAAGTGCTTAGGAACAATATGCATCGCATTGGCTATGTTATTTTTTATACTGCACTGCTGGCCATTAAAATTGCAACACCAAGAAGGAAAGTAAATACAAAAAAGATGGTTATTGTATGTGAACAGTATGGCATGAAGATAAAATGATTAAATTTGTAAGCAGTTTGGGGGTTGACATGGGTGAGAAATTAGTAGAAACAGCTGCTACCCCCTGGCAGCTAAAACAGCCCTTACCTGGTTAGGCATGGAATCGAACTGGGCTTGGATAACAAAAACAGGCAACTCATTCCATGCTGCTTCAAGTCTATGCCACACTTCATCAACTGTATTAGCTGGAGAGAGGTGGCGAGCTAATCTCTCTCAGCAACCAATGACCAGATATTTTCAGTGGGCGATAGATCTGGAGAAAGCCAAAGGAATGGTTGCTATGCTGATGGTCCACACTGCTACAAATGTCAACACACCATATGAGCGGATACTGAGTGTGCTGCAAACATCTTCATTTCCTGACTAATGGTCCATGATGTGGTTACATGATTTTGCAGGGCTGACCTCACAATAAATCTGTCCTCTTGGGTGTTAGTCATGGGAGGGCATTGAGATCCTCCATGCCATTCAGTATGACCCTCAGCAACCCATTGATTCCATATTCGCATGACAGTAGTTGGATGTCGACCAGTGTGACGGGCGATATCACGGAACACACTCTCGAAAGGCAATGAACCTGCCTCTATCGAATTACAACACTTGCTGGTAAGCATTTCTTATTATTATTTGATGCATAATACGACATTATAAGCAAACTCTGACCCTACAAAACACTTTCAGAATGAGAAATACACGACACAACTTTTCTTTTATGCAATGTTTCAGATGCCATTTCTCCTTCCTGCATCGTCTAAATATGCTGAAATACTAATCATTTGCATATCCCAACCTCTTCTTCCTTCCTTGTAATTTTGACATTTGTCAGATCATTCCTTCCTGGTATTGCCATTTTAATGGCCAGCAGTGTTTATACTTTTAAAAAATGGGGAAAGAATTCTTAATCCCAACAACTTAATATCAGTTTTACTGCAGTTACAATGTGAAACATTGTGCCACGTGCATTTTCCATAATCTCTAACAAAACAAGCTAAAAACTGCATTGTTACTGCAAGAAATCTAAGAAAAATAGAAATTCTAGGGCAAATTATAGGAGGAATTTGAATATAATTAAAATGCATTCAACTCTGGGAGGGAGAATAAAGATTCTATGCTTGCAAACTTCAAAAATATAAATGTCTGAAAATGAATGGACTCTTCAGGTAAGAAGCACCTCAGTATAAAATTAATTTAAAAGTTCTACATTAATATGAATTGTAATTGTTATCTTTCACACCTGAACTGCCACATGGCCCACAGGTGGATCTTGACAGGTTTCTTTCTGGCACTTTGTGATCCACTGGTGGGTCACAGCAGTGTTCACATTCGTGTCCACATGTACCACTGGTGGGTCACCTTTTCTACAATTTTATATGGGAATATAAATTTCTTTGGCCTTCAAATCACTCTGCTTAAATTGGTCCCTAACATATCTAATTTTATAAATGCATTTCTTTATTATGCAAAATAATGTACAAAGTTCTAAAATGTTGGATTCATTTTTTTTCCTTACAAAAGGCTGTTAAAATATGAATATAAGCTGTAATGTTCTGGAAAGCACAAAGTATTGTTCAAAAGTAATAAATAATATAAAATACCATGTTGCATCCTATATATAATAACCTATAGTTCTTTTTTTTTTCAAACCTATGAATTAAAAACATATCTGGAATGATCTAATATAAATGTTATGTATATATTTCAGGAAAAATATGATGTAAGCACACTGATCTGAATCTGAATTATACATGAAGATACATACATACGTGAATATTGTATTCATGTATAATGTATTCACTTATGCATGAATATATAGCATATACACATACGTTAACATATATGTGTTACGGTGAAACACCGAAATCTGGAGAATGTCGACTTTCACCGGTGAATGTCAACATTCACACAGTCGCTTGGTGTATGTCCGAAATATTTTCCAAATACAGTAAGACCCCGCTTAGCGCTGTTTCGGTTTAGCGCTCTTTATTTCAACCTGGGGATTCCACGGGAAAGGGATTCACGAAATCGCTCGCCAGCATACGGGGAGTCCTGAAATATTATGCATAGCGAAAGATAGAGTTTCAAATAAACATATCCGAAAGAGTGTACTTTTATTCTTGTTTGGTGTGGTATTGTACAGATATATTTTGAAGGGGTAAATGTGGAAGATGTCGAAGAAATAATTCAAGAAGCAGCGGCTAGTCTTTTAATGATGAGCTCAAGGAATTAACTGAACAAGAAGGAAACAAAAATGTTGACAGCAGTGATTCAGAAGAAGAGCAAAAAGAACTTTCGATGGCGTTGTAAAAAGGAGTTTGTCTACCATAACTGAAATAATGGATCAATTCATTGAAAATGATCCGAATTTTGACAGGAGCTCAAAGTAAGGCGTGGTGTTAGAGATGCTCTATCTGTTTATGAAGAACTTTAAGAGAACAACGCAAAAAGAAAAAAGGCAAACAACATTAGATGCTTTTGTCACAAAAAGGCAGAACACTGAAAACGCGGAAGGCTAACTAAATGTGACTGACTTAGAATTTTATATTGTTTTTTTTAAGAATATTCGTTTTGTTATTTATATTTGTTTTATTTTTGCAAGAAATAATAATGTGGTATTAATTTGGGCTTTAAGAAATAAATGTTTGGTTTTATTTTATTTAAAAAAACATACTTTTTAAATTTAATACCTAACCAATTTCCTAGCATCTTCCCATAACCCAATATTTACATGTAAAGATAGCCTCGTTTAGCGCTGTTTTGCATTACGCTCTACTTTGATGGAACGTATCCCCCGCATTAAGCGGGGTCTTACTGTACTCTTATTTCTGACTTACACCGGTAAATGTTGACATTCACTATCTAATAATGGTGAATGTTGAACATATAAGAATATTATATTTTCTTTTCTGTAATTCAGTCGTGAAAAACACTTTGTAAACTTAAAATAAGAACTTAAAACACACAGCACATTCAAAATGAGAAAGGAAAATCGTAGAAGTTAAAAACTTACTAAATTATGTTATTCGAATATTATTTATTGCAACAATGTAAACTGTTATGAAATTTGAATTGCACAAGAGGCCCTTGCTTTTACATCTGCATTTATTTATGGAACACTTCCATTTGCAGATACAGTGTGTACATATACTCCTCTCATTTTGATCGACACCAGAGCATATCTGTGATTGTCGACATACACCAGTGAGGGTCCGAATGTACAAGAATGTAATGCAATATTCAAAATCTTTCTCCGATGTATTTGGTGAATGTTGACATTCTCCGGTGAAAGTCGACACTCTCCAATTTCGGTCTTTCCCGGTAACATATATAAACCAAGTAACAAAAATTCCAGTTTTGAAAATAATAGTTACATATTTTCTGATAATGTGGTCATTTTTACTCTTTCTTTGCATGTTCATGATTGAAACATGGAATGCAATAATATTTGTCATTCACTAAACATAAGGTATTGACATTTTCTGAATACTTTAGACCTATAACATTACTGTGGTTCACTCATGCAATTTACCCTTATGCATGTCAGCAGTCAATGTGTTAAAATTAACTTAAAATTGTATGCGAATAGACTGCTTCTGAACTATATGGATTTTTAAAAAAGGTTTCTCATTAGCAAGTAGCATTAAAAATTCAAAAGTTCATAAAAGTAAAATTTTCACACAATAAAATATTTTACAATAATCTTGATAAAATAAAATGTAGTCAATTGTAGTAGAAAAGAATAATTCTAATTTTCAATTATTTTATGGAAATTTTAATGCACCAAGATATGTTTACTTTTGTATAACTTTAAGGGGTTTTTCCAATGGAATTATTCAGCTCCTCTTAAATACCAACTTGGCACTAACTTAATTCTAAAAAGGAAGTAATTTAAGGTTTCTAAAAGTCGGTTGAATCATAGTCTTCCTATCAATGAATTATTTAATCGCACTCTATTGTACAATGTACAATCACTAACTTTCAACTGCATACGGGAATACAACTTTCAGAATGGGTTGGAGTGGAATTTATCAAAGCCAGTATCCCTCAAGATATTTCTTTTTAATTTTTACCTAAATTGGACGGTTGATTAGGTGATGACATTGGTCTGAACAGGTGGAAACCAGCATTTTGTGCAGCTCTTGCTACAACATTGGCAAAATCAGAATCAGTGTACACTGATCCTTCAGAGGAACTAGCTACACTTGAGCGTGCACTAGAGTTACTGCTCCTGTCCGTTACACTAGTCCACGAAGGAGCTGCACCTATCAAGCACAGAAAGAACATGTTTTGGAATTTCCGTTTTACAATATACTATGCAACAGCAATGCAGACTACATTAGAACAGAAAAAAAAAAAAAAGAGATTATTAAGAACTCAAAAATATAAAATCCATCAAATGGCATTAGATAAAGTCTGTTTAAATGGAATTTTACTGATTAAGTAAAATTTTTTCCCCGGAGTAAGAGTATCTACAAAAATAAAATTATGCTTATTTAATTTCTGCAGTAACATTCTGATTAATCACACGACATAAAAAAAAAACAGCACTGGTACTGCATTCGTTTACTTTAGTATTTGCTATTTTTGAACCAAGTGCCATTCTCATTCATTTCGTGTTGAACGTGATTCGTGTGAATTATCAATCAGGGACAAATTCATTTTTGAAAGCTGTTTCTTGTTAATTTAAAATAAGCTTGTATAAACCTTCAATATTTATACAAGCTTGCAAAATTTAAGATAAAGAAAACTTCTCTTAAAATTTGTACTGACTTTACAGTTTGCAGTTAATTTTTCCCAATCATGTACAATTTTATTACTATTTGGACTAACTTTTTTACTTAGTAACACACATAATAAGCCAAGCAATAAAAATTAACTGAATAAAACACCTTCAATGAAAAATGCTTAATATCAACAGAAATTATTGCCTATATAATAAGAAGCATTAAAAGGTAATTATTTATAAGAAAAACAGTCTTTTATTAATAAATAAATATATTATATATACAGTGGGTGATCGGTTAAGAAACAGTTTGGACTGCAAACAAATCGGACAGCAAACACTTTCACGAAAGGTTTTTATGTTCAGACAACAAACACATATTTAGATAATGATAATGATTTCATTTTGAGCCCCCCACTCGTTCATTCACTGTCCCATACATAGACTTGAATAACAAATTCCATTCGACATTGGACATGTTCTTTAATGCACCATAAACAAAAAATGAAAAGGACTGTTTAATATGCAAGACTATATGTATGTATTATTTTTTTAATAAACTTACTAAGAAATTATACATCCTTTTTTTTTAACTTAATTTTTAAGGTCTCCAGAACGAATTAATCGATTTCACAAAAAAATCTATGGTAAATCCATGATCAGTTAACGGACAATTCGAATAGCCAACAAAGTCTTGTAACAGATTATGTCCGTTAATATTATGTCCCACTATATATATTTTACATAATGCTTTTGGATTTTTGTGATGCAATATTTAGACTTGTCTGATAGGAACATCAGCCCAAGCCCACAAAATTCCTCGTGGTAAGGAGTGCTCATGAAGGAATTACCCCTGTCATTGGCAACAGCCTTGAGCACCTTACAGGTGACCGTGTGATTTAGCTCATTCCACCCTCAATTTTGATAGAAAGCACCCCAGGAAGGAGAGCAGGTCTAAGAGTCTCTCATACCTCTCCCCTTCCACCAAACTCCACGAAAGGACTTTTAGCTCACCGCATACTTAGAATGCCTCCTAAACACTATACAAATATCCCATGCCTTCTTTGCGATTCGAAACCAGGCTCTTCGGCATGGCAGTCAGCGCCACTAACCACTATACTGTATACTGGTTGGGTGGCTCAAAATTTATTCATGCCCCAAAAAATGACTTTTTTTTTTTTTTTTTTTCATTAGCTGATTGAAAAAGGAGTTTTATACAGAAATATTTAAACCAGTTGGCACTTTCTGCTGATATCTTTACAAGTGTTTTGTGAAATCAAGCTCTTTTGTGTGAAGTTGCAGTAAAGAAAGTTCCCATCTCTTTCTGAAGAATGCTTTAATACAAAATGTCTACTGCCAGGTTGCACAGAATGTCTTCACAGCCTGTGCCTTTTGTTCCAGGTGTTGACTTACTGCAGTACTCCATTCTAATATGTGGGAACTTAATGCAACTACCATACTACCCAAAATCACAAACAATATTTCAAGTATTCAAAATTATCCATTTATTACAAATGAATTCTAATATCTGATCATAAATTTTCTAGAATTTCAAATTACTTTTAATGTAAAAGAAACTTTTTAAGCCTTCTTTTATAAAAAAAAAAGCATTTAAAATTTCAAAATTTAGAGTGACACTAGTAACAAATTATTAATCTAAGACTTATACATTAAATTATATTCATTAAAATTTCATAATTACTTTAAATTTTTCGTTAAGCTATTAACATATTTAGACTATGAAAAAAGCATTTATTTCTGAAACGATGTTTACCTGACATAAAAATTTTAAAATGAGTTTTCACCACAAAATATTAATATATATAGATATATATATATATATATATATGTATGTATGTATATATGCAAAGAACATACAGGTAATCAAATAGCCAGTGATTGTGGTCCAATAACAGCCATAAAAAGAGAAAAATACAGAGATGTCAATAAACCAGGTGTTAAAAGAATAACTTTTTTTTTTTTTTTTTTGAATGTTTTATAGGTTGCTGTGACCCAGAGTAACATAAAACAGAGCAGTAAATTAAATACCAGAAAAAATATGCATCTAGTGTTTTAAGTCATGGATGTCAACACTAACATACCAATTTTTTTCCATATTTCGATTCTACAACTCAAATTATGCCAGAATACCAAGTTTTGTAAAAATCGTACGAGTAGTTTTTAAAATATTAGCTCTCAAAATTTTTAGCTCCTCAATGTTAATTGAATTTGGCAAATATTTATTAATATATCTCTTTTTTTATAACGTTTTGATTTTTTTCTCTCACATTTCGAAATTTAAGGTTCATTCCAAATAAAAATTTACGCATTTTTTTTTTTTGTGTTTTATTTTAAATTTCTATTTTTAAATAATTTTTATAAATTTTTCGAAAAAAAATTTTGAATTATAACCTATAAAATTTTTACCATGATCTTAAAGTAGGTGTATTTTTAAGCATATGTGCAAAAAATTAGACTTTTTTATTCAAAATTTTCTAGTATATACACGAATTTACATATTTTCGTGTTTTGAAATTTGGCATCTTTTTTTGAGCGATAATAACGCCAAATGTGGTCTATGGATTTTGTTACAGTGAATTGCCACAGCTATTTTTAACCTTAAATTTCAAATAAAATTTTACGGAGAATTAATTATATGACATTTTTTTCCTCAATGATGCGTAATAAATATTTATTAATACTATATGAAAAACTATTTTTTTAAATTATAGATGATATTATTCAAATTTTTAAATATTTTTTAATTTCTCTCTATCTTCTTTTTTTTTTTTTTTTTTAAATAAGAGTAAATTTTTGTTAGAGTAAATTTTTACCTTCGGCGTTTTATCGTCTGCTACTTTACTTTAATGTCTGTTTAAATCCAGGGGCGTAGCTAGAGGGAGCTGTCCCCGGGTGCAGAATCCAAGGGGCGCCAAACTGATGTTATGACATTTTAGAATTAAATGTTTTCCATCCTTGGAAAGCAATAGGGGGCGCGAAATCTTCAGTTGTCCCTGGGCGCTGAAAACCCTAGCTACGACTCTGTTTAAATTGAATTGTCTAAAACTGAGAATTTTCATTTGATGTTTATTTGAATTTTATGACATTAACTGCATAATTTATTTCTAAACAAACTGTTGCTTTTGAAGTGGCTGAAAGAACGGCTGATACTATCATCCATATTTTTAAAGCACAGTATATTTTTATAAAAACATAAGATTTAGAATAACCATTTTTATAAAAGTCAAATTATGATATAAACATACAACCCTCTAGAGACTGAATTAATGGAAGTTCAATGGTTATGTAGAAATGATCTGCAGCTACTTAATGGCTGGATAAGTCAGCAGATTCTGTGGACAAGTAAGAATAATTATATAAACGACACCCAATATTCTGGATTCAATTACAACGAGGAAACTATGTTTATTAAATGAATTTAAGCAGTTTAAAAACACAAAATCAACTCATTTTTTATCCTAAAATGTATTTGGGATAGCAAATTTCATTATATCCTTAAAATTCTAATTTAGAATGTAATTGTGAAGAATGATTCTAATCATCAGTAATATAATAAGTAATTATTACGATATTAATAAATCCTTCTTATAAAGTAATTGGAAAATATTTCAAAAACTTTTGTCTGAATGTAAATATTTTCTGTACAACGATTTTTATTTATATTAATAAGATTGACACACTATATTATTATTCCACTTCAATTCTACCGTCAGTTCTAGTAGAAGTTATAAATCAATTATATTTAATTAAGGATTGGATTGGATTGGATAATTTAATTATGGCAAAGCACACGATGGCTATCTGCCTAAAGGGAGGGATGCCTTCGTGGAGGACTTTCTAGATAACTGGCTCGTATACACGTTACACATGGGAAAAACCACGAAAACACCCATGCGGCCAACCCGTTCGCGGGATTCGAACCTCGGACCGAACTACCAGTGTTCAGCGTCTTTACCGCTCGGCCGCTGGTGAGCTATTTAATTAAAGAATGACCATTTAAGTTTACAAACAGCGTACCGTAATAGCAATTCAATTATTGGCGCGGATCTTTTCATGTACTCCCGATTGGCAAGCTACATATTTTTAATGAGTATTCGGGTTTGCTAGTAACATCACTTGAAAATCGCGCTAAAACTAGGTTAGTTGGTTATTTGAACATAGAAAGAACATGGGAGCTATTTGATTAAGATGCTTTCATAGGAACCTTTGTAAAGAGAACCTAGATAACTACAAAAACCAACCATGCAGCTGGGTTAGACTTGCAACAAACAATAGTATTAACGATCTTCAAATGCAAGGCATTGGTGAGGCTCCAATTAAATCTCCAATTTAATATTTATTTGTAAATATTTAAAAATTGTGTATTCTTAGACACAAAAAGCAGAATTTAAGTTTTGTTAACCGTTAGTAAACTAACAAGCCGTAGTGCAAATGAATATTCATTTCTTTGCAATATTGTATTCACTTTATTCTGAATATGAGCTAAAGAAGGAATGTTCTCGGAAGATTAAAGAAATG